TTAAAAAAAAAAAAAAAAAAACTAATAATTCATAAAAATACCTTTAATAATATTCTTAAATTAAAAAATAATAATAATAAATACTATTATCATTAATATTATATTTAGTAATATTAATACTTTTAATATTTATAATTTTTTTAAAAAAATATTTAAAAATAAATTTTAGGTACCTGACTAGCTCTTATACCATTTGTAACTACTCATACCCCCCACTAGAAAATATTATCATTTTTGGACTTCATTTTTTTAAAATCTGATACTAATTGTTCTGTCAATATACTAACTTAAATATATATTTTTTAATTTTTATTAAAAAAATCACTGTATAAAAAGTATTTTTCAAACCTATTTAAAAAATATATTTTAAAAAACTATTTTGAAAGTCGGAAAGTATTTTTTAAAAAAATATTAATAATTTTCATTTAAAATCAAATATATTTTTGTACTAATATTTAGAAAATTATTGAATTTTTGAAACTTTAATAGCATTTTTTAAGAAAAAATACACGTGTTTTTTACATTAATATCATGACATGTTTGAAATTTATAAAAGAACGTAAAAAAAAAAAAAAAAAAAAAAAAAAAAAAAAAAAAAAAAAAAAAAAAAAAAAAAAAAAAAAAAAAAAAGAACAGATTCTTTGTGTTTGAAAACATGGGTTCTCTGTCTGTTCTGTTCTTAATGAGTCGTATTCATAAATAAAGCGAAGTTTTTGAAGGGTCCACTTCGGAGCAGATATTTTCCGCAGTTAATTTGGAATCAAAGTGGAAGAAAGAATTAAAGGGTTACCGAAGGTGGCTGACCGGAACGTCGTCCACCCGTCAATGAAGCTCCGGTTACCGGATATGACGGTGGCGTCAATGCCATCTCCGATCATCATGATATTCCATTTCTTCTTCTTGATCTCAACGTTCTCGAAATACACACCCTTTTTCACGTATATCACATACCGCCGCATGCTCTTGTCGGGGGCTGCCAGCACCGCCTCCATTACGGTGGTGAAATCCCCTGTCCCATCGGCGGCCACAGTCGCATCGGCGGCGAAGTCATTCTGTTGAAGCAGGCTCTGTTCCTCCGATTTGAGCCAGGCAGGAAACCCGCTCTCCCCTTTTCCGGCCGGCTGATTGGAGATCGATTTCACCATGGAAAGAAGGTTATAAACCTGTGAAGTTAATTGGTTGATGCCTTCGGAGACTAATCCTTTGACAATGCTATTGGTGCCTTCGAATCCTTCCATGCATGTTTCTGGGTTAACTCCGGCAGCGCTCAGCCATGTTTTCAGATCAGAACTCAGATCTCCGGTGCTGTTGTTCTTAGCTGTATTATGCAAAACGAAAACTGATGTGGGTTAATATGAAAAAACGAAAGTTATTATGTTTTGGCGACAAAGACCGTTTACCCTTTGGGTTTTGGGCGGCGGAGAGCGACCAGCTCAACTGGTCGGAAGAAGAATCCAGCAAATCGAGACAGTCGGAAATGGCGGTGGAAAGGCGGGAATCACCGAGAAATTTAGTGAATGGAGAGAAAATGAGCATGACCTGGCGCACGACGCCGATGGTGGAGAGAACAGAGTTGGAGAACTCCGACGAGGGGACTTTTAAGCACTCTGTTTGTTCAAGATCCGCCGCCGGAGCCAAGGGAAAGAGAATCAGCAGCATAAACAGCCAAAATTTGAGGTGGGTTTTGGTTAGTTTGGCCATTAAGATGGGATTATTGAGGTGCCCCTGCTTGTGGTTTGTGTTAAGGGAAGAAACAGGGGAGGAAACAGGGGAGGTAACAGGGGAGGAAACAGGGGAGTCGGAATAAATGAAGTATTTGGGTGGAAAGGTGAGGGAGTTTAAGAAGGGGCGGAGGCGGAGGTTGGGGAGATGGCGCGTTGATTTGAATGGCACGGTCGCTTTGACAATCACGTTGTGGGGAAGCCTTGTCTCGAATCCATTTGTCGGCACTCATAAAAAGCTTCTCTTCCTACGCAGATCTCGGGGCAGGGCATGGCATGCCACAGTCGCAGTCCCTGCATGTGAGATTCCGATGGGAGGTTGGAAGAGGAGTACCGAAACATTCTTTACAAGGGCATAAAAACCTCTACTTAGGACGTTTTAAAAACTTTGATGAGAAGCCTAAAAGAGAAAGTTGGGAAGACAATATTTATAAGGGCGGTGTGTCAGTGAGGACGTTGAGCTCTAAAGGGAGTGGATATCAGTGGTATGCCAACGATGACGCTAAGCCCCACAAGAGATATAGATTGTGAGATCTCATATTCGTTAGAAAGAAGAACGAAACATTGTTTATAAGGGCGTGAAAACTTATTCTTAGTAGACAACGTTTTAAAAACTTTGATGAGAAACTTCAAAGGGAAAGCTCACAGAGAAAAAATGTGCTAGAAGTGGGCTTAAGTCGTTACAAATGGTATTAGAGTCCGATATGGGACGGTGTGCCAGCAGAAACACTGAGCTTCGAAAGAAATGGACACCAAGCAATGTGCCATTGAATTGTGAGATCACACGTCGATTAAAAAGGGAACAAAGTTCATAACTTTTTCGAGTGGGTTACAAACGAGAGACAGCTTTTTATTTGATCTTTATGGAACTCCATACTCATGTCTTTATTATCTCCTCATTCACTTCACCCTCTCATCAATGCCCAAATTAATATGTTCTGAATTTCATTCCCATTTGTTTTTTTGTTTCCCATTTTGACTAAACCAACACCCCAACCATAAAAATTTAAGGCCACATGGACTCCGTCTTTCGAATTTAAATTTAGTTTCTATTTGTTCGGAAACAACGTTGGTCGATTCTTCTTACCCGAGTTATATATTATCAAAATCGTTATTGTCCACTCGCTTTTACCTTACAACATTACTCTTTATAATTCTTTTCAACTTATTTTCTCGCTCACATTTTCCAAATATTTCAAAACATGATCCGAAGTTCAAGTATACAGTGACACTGAAGTCTGAATTTCACACAAACTTGACTTATTTGCTGGGTTAGAACAAGTGTCACACAATTGTTGTCCCGTTATTACAAAAAGTGCAATTGTGACAAGTGGTACAAGACTACACGTTTGACGGTTTGAAGTTCGATGTTAACGGAGAGAAACTCGTTTGTTTGTTTGTTTTTATATAGCAATTTTGTAAAAGAAAAAATGTCGGTGGAACGTATCTTGAAGACTATAGAATCCTTTTGGGCCCAATTTTCTTACCACCAATCATAACAAACCAAAATCATAATGAAAACATTATACACTACAATCTTAGGCCAAAACTATATAATATAAATTGACAAATATATATATATTTATATTAATTAAAATGTATTATAAAATAATATGTTAATATAAAGTTAAATAAAATAACGCTGATTAATAATAATGAGTTATATTCGAATAATTATATGATAATAACAAATAGTAACTCACTAAAACAAAAATACATCAACTAACATGAAACTAAATAAAAAAATTAATGTAATAAATAAATAAGAGAAAAGAAATTAAAATTAAAATTATTTTATATAAAGAAGATTAATGGAAATTAACTTTGGTGGTCCTTATGAATTTGAATATAATTACATTTAAGGAATTTCAATTTTCCAGCTGGCTTTATTCCCACTTTTTTTCCTTTTATATATATATATATATATATATATATTATTTATTCTTCGTATTATATTAAATTGGGATATAAAGGAGTTTAATTAATTATTTTGTTATTGTAATTATTTAATTTTAAAGTCGCATGTGCTTTAAAAAAGGAAGAAAAAAAAGGGCGTTTCCCATCGCCATCGCCAATAATAAATTAGGCAAAGCAAATAAAAATAACGCGGCATTGTAGTCGTTGAAACCTTACATCCATAGCTTTCCATTTCCAATATTCTTCACTCTTTAAGATTTGCTTCCACACCATATGCTCATCTATGGCGGATATCGCTACGATTTTGTTCAATAATTATTTAGTTTTTGAAGGTCGTTCTTATTACTCTCGACCAATTTCTTCTTTTTTAAGGAAACGATAGTTATAATGGAATAAAATTTGTTGCCATATTTGCAAACATGACAAAATATTGTTTGTTTTCGAGTTTATCATTCATTGATTATAACTTTGATCAAGAAGCCAATTATCATAGTCATGCTTATCTAAGACGTGTTGCCTGTATTTACATACCCGCTAAACCTACTTGCTTTTATGTTGTATGATTATTCGGCGACATCACCTAAATCATCTAAAAATGTACTATAAGGAGACCAAGTAGTCATCAAACCTTCCCGACCAAGTATTGTAATCTCTTTTGCCTACCTGTTTTCAATGCAATTAACTTTCACAATGCCTACTTTTCAACGATTTTTCTCGCCAACGTTTTCTAAATTTGCCAAGAAAGTGTGATTGCGACACCGAACATTTCCCATAATTCAAACACCTAGATATAGATAAATTAAAGTAAAAGAATTTTGTTCCTCAAGAATTATAAACTTCACAAAACAAAAGTGACAAACGTACCATCAAAATTGCCCACCTTTACTTGTTCTAGTGAACCAAGGACGAACAACTCTGGGATATGGCTTCGTACTCAATAAACAAAACATGAGAACTTTAATAAACAAAACATTTCATGTTATAAATTTAAATTAAAAAATATACACAACATAACTAAATAATAATAAAACAAACTTTATAGCATAAAATCTATTAATAAAAATTTATATTCAACCTAATATTTAGTTACTATGAATCCAATTTATAAGCCAGTTATCAAACACATTTGAAAACATGAAATACAGATCTGAATTTATGTTTTCAGATTATCGACCACGAACCGAACACAGAAATAAAGCAATTTACATAAGCTAATATAATACAATGCTTGAAATCAAATGGAAAACTGAAGTTGCTGATCTATAAATAACGTAGTAGCCAAATTATACAAGTAAATGTACGTTTCCTTGGGCACTTCCTGAAGCTAATTATTTAATCTTATGAACAAAAGTAGACGTGCGTGCTACCAAAAGGTGGTATTTTACAGATTAAAAAGGAAGAATGAATGAGTTGGTGGGATCAGGGCAATGGGCATTAGAAGAGCATGGTGGTTAGTGGTAGATGACGACGAAGGTGGGTATCTGCTGGCTGCTCGGGTCTCGCTTTTCTGTTGGGGTGGGGGTGAAAATCGAGTCGTAGATCTATAGAATAAAAGAATTGCTTCCTAAAGCTGAATATTTAACCAATATGATGTTGTGCAAGTCAGTCACTGACTGATTCCCTTCCCTAGCAGTGCTCTTTCAAGAGTGGCTTCAGTTCAAATTTGATCATCAATAAAAATGTAAACCGACCAACAAACAAACTGGTTACCCGGTATTGTTCAGTTCTGCAGCTCTCTGTCTCATCATTTCCATCACAGCTGCTCTTCTTCGTGAATCTGATTGCTGCTGCAGCCGCCTTAAGTGTTCTTTGAGATCTCTGGATTACATTAAAAATTGAACCTTTAAACTCGATTCATATGATGCAGAGACAGATATTGTAAACTTAGGAATGAAAAAGAAAATGAAGGTAAATAAAAGACTTGAAGTAAGTAGCTCTTGATGAAAGGATGTCGAGATTACCTGCAACGGGGTACATGGCATTGAGATTCTTTGCAAGCTCGAGCGTGTAGTTGAAGGAGATACCACATTTTCTTGCAGAGAACACAACCACCAGACGCACGTATTTTGCATTGTATCCCATGTCGAAAAAGCCCCTTCACCTTCCGACAATTTGGATACTGACAATGTGCAGAACGACATTGAGATGCATGCACCAGAAGATCGAGCATTTTTCTAAGCTGCAACATCAAAAACTAACAAGAGTAAGGCATAGAAAATGAAATGAAATTCATGTATGCACGACCACATGGGATTAAAGTAAAATGGAACATGATATGTCAAGGTGATCGCCAAAAACAAAACAGATAAGATGAATGATAAGCACCACAAACACTGCCAAATGATGGTACATGTAGAATTCAGCACCAGGGTCATGCTATATCTTAGAATGAGGGTACATTGCAATTAGATGCCAAATGACTAATTGTTGATTTCTTAATCAAACCAGCTAATTAGATGAACGTCTAGTTAATCATCACAAATTACTACTAAAAATAAAGCAAACGTAAACTTATAGAACATGAAGTATAACATTTTCCTTGTACATTTATAATCTTTTGACGTGGGGTAAAGATTGGGACTAATAAATGCATAGAAAATCAAGGAAACCAAAAGCGGCACATGATTGAAAAGCCAAAAAGAGGTAGGTATGTTGCGGACCATTCAGAAAGATGGTCCTTGGCTTAACAGAATTTGCAGCAAAGTGCAATGACAAGAATACGACTGGATGAAGAAATAGGGCTAAGAGCTTATGCAATAACAAAAAAAATATCCACAACACCTGTAAGACTCGAACTTGCCGAGCTTCTTTATTTTGTGCATCTCGATCAACCATGGAAGGATGATTAGTCAACTTATGAGGATGATCAATGCCACCATCCTTTTGGTAACAAGAATTACATACATCATAATCAGGGCAAACTTCACAACGCCAACCTTGACCAGTTTCTATGTCCAGATGACATATGTTGCAAGTTGTGACAAACGCAGGTGCAGTTGGATTATGAAGATGGTATAGAACCATCATTGAAGAATGCTTGGCCCGCCTAAGAGTATCATACTGATAATGATTTCCTTGACACAAACTCAAAAATGCTTGCCTGGTGTCAAAAAATTCACTCTCAAGAATCTCATCTTTATCCTTGGTATCAACAGGCACGTCATTGATTTCTTCCTGCAGAGTTCAGTTCCGCTATCCCATATTAGTTCTGAATTAAAAAAATATACACGTATGAAAGATAAATGCTTTAAAAACATTTTTTATGGATTGGCTGGACAGAACGCCAATTACAGAAACAGTTACTTCAACAAATGTACAAAAATGCAGAATATATTTCCAAACTTGACAACGTACAGGATAGAGGATATGTTTTTCTCTTTGATTTATGGGATGTTTTTCTCTTTGGTTTATGGGATGTTTCTCTCTTTCTTCACGTTTTTGTTCTGTCTCATAGCACCTGTGGAACAAAAAACAGGTATTTTCAAAATAAAAATCAACAGCCACCACAAAAAGTTAATAGCATCACAAATTCAACTAAACAAAAGAAAGAGATGCCAACTTGGATATGATCGGTACTACATCTTCCCATTTCCGTTCTTGTATTATCAAGTCTCCATCAATTCATTATAATAAAAACATAAAGAACTATCTAGAAAAGCCACCATCAACACTAAAAATAAAAAGGGCAACGCTGTAGTGAATAACTGAGACAACACTAAATTTTAAAGACGCTACAACACTAAATATAATATACAATATACAGCAAAAGAAACAAGAAACAGCTTGGGGCTCTTACTTATCACAAAGCTGGAAGTTTTTGCATTGGTTGCAAACCCAACGACTTCCAGATACCATCAGAATACAACAGTGACTGCAAGCGTGCTGTAAATGAACCATGATAAAATCTTCCTTCATTGGAGAAATGGTTTCACCAAGCTGGAGAAATAACAGAAATCAATTAAAGATAATAGGTTTAATGCCACCTCACTGGAGCCTCACAATTAAAATTGCACCCATTTAAAGAATATATTGCACGCTAGAATATGTGATTTCAATTTATCAAGAATAGAAGAAACTTTCTAATATATATAAAACATACATATGAAGTAGAAAACACAACTCCATGCCATTAAATTGATTATTTAATCTTCTAACAAGTGGTTATTTAGCTCATAATCTTACAATTTGCAAAACTTAACCCTCCTCCAGCATAACATTTAATCATAAGGATACATTCAAAATTATAAGTAAAAGAACATGTTCAGCAAAAATGAAAATGACGCGACGAACACGTGTCCAAGAGAGAAATAAATGTGGAATAAAAGACATGGCAAACGATTGAGCTACCCAAATGTCAATAAATTTATTTAATACAATTAAAAATTTTAAATTCGTCTAAAGCATTAAACTTGGTCACATTCCATGCCCCTTCCCAATTATATTTTTATATTTATCATTAAGAACACATGGGTATCTTTTACATTATCAATATCTAATTGCAGACCAAATATAAAAATATGAAAACAGAAAGGCTTGGAAAAGAAATATTACTTTATGCATTAGTAGCAGATCCTTTGACGCGTTACCAAAAAGGTCAGACTGCCCAGATGCTTTTAAAGCTCTCTTTGTGATCGTCTTTTTAGTCAATCCTTTTTTGTTCTGTTTCCTTCCATCCTCTTCTTGGCGAAGCTGATAAATCAAATCCTCCGCAGCACCAGGCCAATAATCACCATCAAAATACGGCAACCTTGCTGCAGTGACCTTAGCCTTACACTCACCAGTAGAGACAAAGAAATGGTCATATAGATTAGTGAGATCAACAACAATATTTTCCTTGGAAGCCTTTCTCAACATTGATAAATACCTGAAATTGAACATGCCAAATGAGGAGTTAGAAAGGAAAAAAATAACTTATATCTGAAACTAGAGAGCAGAAATAGCATCCAAAAATTTTATCCCGAGGGTTGATGAACTCTCTCTTACCACTCCCGAAGTTTATCAGATTTTGGTGTTTTCTGGATTTCTGGATGGCAATATAATATATAATCTTCACCCTTCAATGGAGGACATGCCCATATATAGCAGCTTGTGAATCCCCGTTTTTTGCAATATTCAAGGTATCCTATCTGAAAGGATAAAAATAGGGATAAAATACAATAGCATCTTGTAGATAACTAAATAACAAAAGGTGCGACTAAGATTAGCCACAGGCAATATGAAATAATACTAGTT